ACTCATAGCTACACGCAGATGGCTGATCCTCGTTTAATTGGCTATGGATGACGCTAATGGCTGTTCCTCATTTGATTAATCCTCATTTAATTGTATGCTGAAAATATGTACCTGCTTAAGTGGTCTTGAAGCTGACCTAAGCGCTGTTCCACCTCTCCATATGTGATTTCACTGGCAGAATTATCATTGTCTCTCAGGTCCTGGAACTGTGCTGACTCATCCAGGTAGTCCGTAGGCTTCTTACAGGTCCATTTATCACAGCACTGATCTGAAGGGCCAGAGCAACATGCATACGTTACATTCACACATGTGGGTCGGAGCAACGTCATCACTAAACACAAAAACCCACTAAAATAGAATGCAATTAATCTCTACAAGAGAGCTGTGTGTAGGGTTTTTGTTATAATTTATCAAGCCCTGGTACCAGGAGAATTGCTAAGGCAGTGTTTTCCACTAGCAAACTAACCCTGTTGTTATCTCTGCTGGGCACCTGCTAGTACTCAGATTGCTGTCTTGTGATATGCATTGAGTTGCTTTTGTGGTTTAAAACACAGAGGTGGTTAGTTATGTGATTAGATTATCTGGTACAGCAGACTGTGCAGGAGGCTTTGTACTACTACGATAAACCATAAAGATAGGACGATCCTTGTGGGCTGTTATGTGTGCCTTCACCATGGATGGCACTTATATCTGCAGCCTTATTTACTATATCCTTCCAGCAGAAGAGATCAACAACGGTTTCATTCTGTCACTGTGTCTCACGATAAGAAGGTTCCAGGTTCGAACCTCATGGCCGACTGGAGCCGACGGTGTGGAGTCTGCACTCTAGCTTCCTCCCACAGTCCAAAGACATGCAGGTTACTGTAGGTTAACTGGTAACTCTAAACTTCCCCTAGGTGTGAATGTCTCGATGTGTCAGCTCTGTGATGGACTGGCGAACTGTCCAGGGTGTAATCTGCCTCTCACCCAATGGGACTGGCTCTACCCTCCCCCATGACCCTTTACAGGATAAACAGTATAGATAATGTATGAATGGATGGATGCACTTTTTAAAGCTTGGCCTACTTACACACCTGAACCTCTCACAGAAAACACCTCAGAAATTGCCAGAGTTTAATCACATCTCTATTACATCTATGTCTATGCCTGAGTCATGTCTGTATGGTAAAAATAGGGCAGTGGATTGCTGCTGATATGAACGAGGGTGGACACAGAACAACGACATGAACACCGGTGAAATTCATTACAATAGCCATGCAATAAGAAGCGTGTACTTTTATTGACTGCATACAATAACTGGATGGTGTTTATATTAAGCTATTGTTGTGTTTCAACTCACCAACTACCGATTTTTTCTTACCAATTAGGACTGACTAATGCCCCTGCACTGCAGTCCTTGTAATTCCGTGCTCAGGTGAACATTAGATCTACATGAAAAGGCAGTCCTCTCATTAAATGAGACCACTGCTGATTAAATATATACACAAGCGTACATTCTTGGATGATTACCCAGTAATGTGAACAGTATTTTTTTCCTGTTTACCTGGAAGTTGTTGAGAGGGAGGATAAAATAATTGCCACAGTGATAACTGTCCAGGGATGAGAAATCCTGGGTCATAATGTTATAAATTTCCCCTGTGTTTGGTGTAATAAAAGACATGGCTAGCAACACTTCTTTAAAAGGTCATGTCATAAGACGTTCCGAGAATTTTCATCAATGCACATAATGGATTCATCAGTAAAACAAGATATATTACCCTCAAAAGATGGCCTTCTCCCCAAGCTGTGTCTGACAACAGGATCTGAGCGATTGGGTAAAGAGGGACCCTGGACTCCTGAACATGTCTCTATACACGGGTTAAAACTCCTCTCCCTTCTCAAGTCTTTAACCCCTTCCTTGTTTTCCCCTGTGGAATGACAATCAACAAGCGCCAGTGGAATAACACAGTACTCTGTTCCACAGAGAACCAATGTTCGAGGCGAGCACCACTCTGTGGACAATAACAATAAACACATTTTCAACCACAAAACTGAACCTGTGCAGATTAGTTACTACTTACTCTTAGGTAGATCGGGTGTGAAGGAGATCCTTCTTTTAATGCTTTTACTACCCTCTCCATCAGAATCACAGCCTTGGGAACTAGAGGGCTGCAACAGTGTCAGAGTTATTAATCTATTAATTAATAGAATTATTAGTAATTGCTTATTAATCTTGAAGTACTACGAGATTCAGTCAATCTAATATAATTTGAAGTAATAATATACTTGAATATTTGTCAAACAGCATCAGATGAACATGCGGGTCCCGCACCACCAGTGTAGTATTATTTACCTTGGCAGACCCATCTCTGAGGTTGAAGGTAAGCTCCAAATTGTTGAAGAAGTAGTCAGCAAACTCTGGATACATGTCTAACACCTCCAGCAGATCCTCTCTCTGAATGGTGCTCAGGTCACAGTAACTCAGAGCGCGCACATCGGCGTTTGATTTTCCAGGATTGGCAAACACATGGATCATTTCTCCAAAGATGTCATTTTTTCCTGATGGTGACACACATACACACAGGCAGTAAGATCTACAAGTAGTGCTGTGCAATATGGGGAAGAATTTGAATGTCATATTTTCTATGAGGACTCCTCAGGCTCTTACTAAAGGGCAGCAGACATGTTTGTTTCTTGTGGATAATGAAAATCAAACAGCCTCTACTCTGTGTTCAGTACACATTCTCCCAAGGCCTGTGGATGAGTTGTCTTTCTATCTTTCAGGGCCGGCCCAAGTCTTTAAGGGGTGCTAAGCAAAATTTATTTGGGGGCCCTCCACCACCTCGTTGTCGCCAGTACTGTCAGTGCTTGAACATTTGCACATGTACTGTTAATCTAACCTACCCATTATCAACTGTAGCTTTGCTTACAACAGATGCCTAACATAAACATCATATATCATATATCAGCTCGGCATGTTTTTTTTTATCTTTCTATGCTTTTTAATCTTAAAAGGTACTGTAGTAAACTCACATCAGAGGTACTAAGTACTAAATACTAAGTGTACTTAGTACTGCATGTAATGCAGTGAAAAGTAACAAAATAATAAGCCAGTGACTTGGTCTATGTGCTTCTGGTGTAATAAAGCATAGCCTACTTTTTCCCCAACTAGAAGTCACCAAGACAATAACAAAGGACAACATTTGTAAAGTTACAATGACTGGCAAGGTGAACAGTACTTTTTCTGCTGGCTCTGCAGCTTTTCACTAAAATAAAATAGGCTACTGTAGTCAGGCAAACATACAGTAACTTTATCTTCATGTTTTTCCTCATCCTTTGTTTTCTCTGTTCAACAGCAATGTCCTTTTTTGCGACATTATTCTTTTTTTTGCTGCTTTTTCCTGGTTACCTAACGTTAGGGTCTGACAGACTGTGCTTGCATCAAAAGCCGCCTTTATTATATGTGTGGATGCATAAACAAGCTCTCTGGTAGAACATTTCAAATGCTCTTTGGGGCCCTCTGGTGGCCACGGGGGTCCCTAAAGAGGCGCTTAGTTCGCTTATGCCTCGGGCTAGCCCTGCTGTCTTAGATCCATTATTTATGGTGAGGAATAACTGCTAACTCAGAGCGACTTTGATGTGGGAGGGAGGTCTGATTGCGACTGACACATTTTACATGATGTGTACTTTAAAGGAAATATTTGGGTTCGTAATGGCTATTATATAATGAAGTCAATTTTATCAGCAAGTGTCTAGGAAAGCATGCAATCAACCATAGTTTTCAAACTAGATAATCAACAAGTTAACTCTTCTGAAATCAAGGTCTATTTTGCAAATATATATAAATAATATATCTGGTTTAAAGGCCATCATGAAAAATCCCTTTCTTGGTCAGAGTTGGTTACTAAATGCCAACCCTGCAAGCAGGGTTTCAGCAGAAAGAGATATGATATGCTGGCTGCCAGTGTGGCTTTCACAGCATGTACTGGACACCTTTCTACCGCAGAGGACAACCTCACACCCAGTGGTGTATCTCTCCCCGACAACACAACTCTGTTTACAAGGATTTAGATAGTCATTAGCCTGGACTATAATGTAAAAAACTAATTCCTCACCTGTGGAACAACGCTACCAGCCTTTGGACTCCATATCATTACAAGAGAGAAATGTAATAGCACTACACTGACCACAGCTTAGTTAGAGGTCGGGGCAGTTTGGTAGGTCAGAACAGACAAGAAACACGTTTTCACAGACAAATTGCTGAAAAAATCGTGCTGGTGGAATGTTATGCTGGTATCAAATATAAATGAGCTGAGATCAGTGGGTTTGTTAATAATGGGTTTTGTGTGATGCAGCAGCTTTTGTTAAGCTTAAACCTCATTCTGTCAGATGCAGCTTTGGAGAGCATTCATCTCATGAATAATGGCAAGTTTAATCCAGGCCTGGCCTGAAGCACCTGGTTGTGGTTCAACCATGATGAAAAAGATAAACACTCATTATTATGTAAGACTAGTGAGTATTCACTATTACTATATTACTAAGGCAAAATAATATTTCAAATTCAGAGCGAGGAATTGTTAAGATCACCTTAATATGACTTTGATCCTTTTCTTTTTGTAGGATCAGGTTTGACCAAAAGCTGGTGTTTTACTTTGTTTCAACAGGTCTGATGTTGACATTCAACAGAGGCTGCCACTACATCTACACTACAATTAAAGCTTTCATGAAGGATATACACAACAGACTTACTGATTTATTAATTACTAATTATAATTCAGGCAAAATGCATGCAACATTAATTTACCCCTGGATGTTGTGACACAGCAGTAAGGATTGTATTTACCCAGAATAGCTACCACAATGTCATCCTTCAGGATCTCAATGGAACCGTGGGACAGAAAGTAGAGAGCAGTGAGCACATCGCCACTGTGGACCAGAGTGTCTCCAGGAGGGGCATGAGTGGTTTGGAAGCGCAAGGCCAAGGCCCTCAAGCAGCCTTTGGTGGCTCCTTGGAATGCTTTGCAGTTTTGAAGAAGATTCTTGTTGAGATGAAGACAGATATCTGCCTGCAGGCACTCAGGAAAACCTTTTAACACCTGTGATGCAGAGAAAATTTGTAAGTAAAATACACAACAAGTGCAACAAATAGTCACGGACCCATTCAAATACATACAGTATGTAGCATGCTATACAACAGCATATCATAAGACAAGGTTAAAATATTAAAAAAAAAAATGACACTATTATGTTTCTCAGTCTAAACATTTATATACATTGTCAAGACAGAACGATTGTTAACATCGTGGGATTTTCATAAATACAACTGCCACTTTGTGATTTGTGTAACCACCTCCTGAGCTACTGTAAGCACAGCAAAATGCCTCCTCAAATCAATGTGAGGAGGAAGCGAACTGTGAGATAAATGCAAGCAACAACAAAACCCCAATTTTATACCAATTATTTGTAGAAACCAGAGATTAAATCCACACGTTTGATGCATGCATCCACCTTCAAGTAAACAATTTGCTTTGTTGACCAGTAAACCACAGGTTTTAGCTTTATCCCACTCTTTTATTAAATATAACACATTATATGGTTATATGGCTTGTATTACAAGAATGGGAAAGCTCACAGGTACAGTATGTGTAACTATTACAAGGTAAATACATGGCCACTGTAGAAAATGATAATCTAATTATCTCTGTAATTCTCATTGAAGTTATTTTAAATAAAACTGACAGAACCCATCATTAATCAATGTCTTATAGTTTATCTTGTAAATTTAAACATTTCTTTCAACGTGGTGAATCCATAAATAGATTGATTTTACTGTCCCCAGAGGGGAAACCTGCTCCCACAGAGTGTGCATTATGCATGCCTCCAAAACAAAGATACATTTGTACAGCACTTAACTCACAGAGCCGGATGTGCTGGCAATTTGAAGGAAGCAATTGAATTAATTAAATTTTTAGCACCCATTTACCTTAAATGTTTGAACTTTTGTTTCTTGAATTGATTGAGTTTGTAGTTCAAATTAAATTGGCCATCTTTAATTCTTACCATGTATTTACCTCCTAGTATTGACAGCAAAAAAATCAAGTTTACTGCAACTTACTGCTAAAATTATTTCATATAAAATTTCAGTTGGATATTAAAATTAGACAAAAGACGTTAGTATGAGTTCAATTTTCTAATGCATACATGCACTGTAGTTCCTTACCCACATATACTGTGATGTCTGCTTTTAGATGAAACCATGCAACATAAAATTGGAATGGACTGCAAAATTTATACTGTTTGTTAAGAGATAAGTCTGTTTTTTTTATTTTAAAAATGTTGAAACAGCGATCTATTTAGCCATGAAAATGACAAGAAATACAAATACATACCTCCTGCTCTTACCAATGAAGCGATGGTAATCCAGATGAAAAGCAGTTAAGAGAAAGAAATCTCATTTTAGAAAACTGTAAAATGACAATGAACTCATATTTAATGAGTTTAGTTAATTTTGGAGGGATATGTAATCCAGTTACAGTGACATACCAATGTGCTGCTTATTGCTATTTACCGTGTTCATATCAATGCCATTAGTGTAGGTCCACGAGTGTTGGAAGTACTCCTCCAGCCTTTGCCTCAGCGGGTTGGGAATTTGGTGAAAGCGGATGAACTCCTTGACTCGCAACATCTGAGCATGATAGCGGGCCGTACCCGAGTACAGCCTTTGGATGATGGCAGAGACATTCCCAAAAATACTGGCATACATAAGAGCTGAAACACAGACAATAATAAATAAATGAAGTGACTTGCATTCGACTGACTGCTTCGCAGTTTTATTGGTTTTACCATAGACTATCTTCAAGTTAATTAACTTGAATAAATGTGAACAAATGCAGCTATAAACACAATCTGCTGTCCAACACATATTTTAAAAAAAGTCTTTAACCACTTCAAGCGCTGCACCAGATAAAAAAAATGTGCTAAAAGAAAATAAATTATGAAACAAAAACCCTTATATACAGCATGTATATACTCACAGCCAATCAACATGACGCAGATGGAAAAGATCTTCTCTGAGTTGGTGTTTGGGGAAACGTTTCCAAAGCCCACACTAGTCAGACTGCTGAAGGTGAAGTACAGTGCTGTGACATACTTGTCCTTGATAGAGGGACCAGAGCTCGGATCGCTGTAGTTGTATCTTTTCCCTATGGACACGCCCAGATTATCTAGCCAGCCAATCTTGTGCTCCAAGAAGGGCTTCTCCACATTGCCAATGGCGTACCATATACATGCCAACCAGTGGGCAATCAGGGCGAAGATGCACATGAGCAACATCAGAACTGCAGCTCCATACTCAGAGTAGCGGTCCAGTTTCCTGGCTACACGCACCAGTCGCAAGAGCCTAGCTGTCTTCAACAGGCCAATCAGAGTGGTAGTCTAAAAAAATGTAAAGCAGGGCAGTTTATTAGGAATAGCAGTAGAATGTCAGACTAATAATAGCAATTTTACAGTCTTGGATATTTCATCTGTCATGCAAAAAAATCTTATTTGTTGCATATCTGCCCAAACCATATGCCCTGATATTTTCTCTATATCAAAGGATAAAGTCAGGTATTTTTATATTAGCAGTATTTTCAACACACCCTATTACAGAGACTAAACCCAACAATGAATTGCCTCACTGTTGTTCAAAAATGATTAAAAATGACATGACCATTCGGAGCCTTTGGGACAACATTCTTAAAAAATATTATGGTCTTGTGTTTCATAATGAAGAAACATGTCACCCAGTGCATCAGTGTGTTTCCCTGGTGTGTTTTTAATTGTTTTTGAACAACAACAGAGGTCTACGCAACAGGCGAATAAGCCGATCCAGGACTGACAGACATTAACAGTGAGTAGAGGCAAATCATTGTTGGGTTTAGCCTCTGTATGGGGACTGTTTAAAATAGAAAATGACCGACCTTACAAGTTGTGACAAATCAGGAGAGTCATTTCACAAACTAAGGCAATATGTTTTCTCAACAGGTAACTCCTCATTTAGTCAACACTGAACAAGCAGTTAAGACTCACCAAGTGGGTCTCTAGGAGTTTGATGTTATCAAGAAAGATATTAGTAACACTAACCACCACTCCCATTGTCATTTATCTACCCGACAATTACAAAATGGCCATTAAAAATGAACATTACCTTTACACAATATCATCTCCAGAGAAGAGAAACTCTCGGTTAGAATTGTATTCAATCCTGGTTTTCTTAAAACAAAATATGGCATTTTCCTCATTCCGTTTCTTTTCTGAATAAGGTACAAGCTGTTGAAATGCCAGGGTTGCTGAACTGGCACTTGTCGAACATCTAGTCCAGGCTCAGTTTCCACACCATTTTAAAATTAATCTGATAAAGTCCTTTCTTGGTGCTTCTTATTCTTCGACTTTTGGCTGTTCCCGTCAGGGGTCGCCACAGCGAATCATCAGTTACCCCCTAACTGATGATTTGCATTTCAAACTTGGCACATTTTATGCCGGATGCCCTTCCAGATGATGTCTAATTTAGAGTTGCCAATCAACCTAGGTGACATATCTTTGGAGTGTGGGAGGACACCGGAGCAACCGGAGAAAAACGTCCTTTCTTGGTGCAATTTAAATATTTTCACTGTGTCTGTGTGGGTTACCACATCCAAACTCCAGCATGCCTGTCAGTGTGAGTGGTTTTGTCTGTATCTTATTTTAAAAGCCCATACTGATGCAACTTTGCAGAGACTGATTTAAAAAAAAAAAAAAATCATTTTGTGTGCTACTCAGTTGATACTGATTACTGCTGGGTTTACAAGTATTACTTGTCGAACAACATCTGGAAAAAAAAAAAATTAGGAAACCTAAACATTAAATATTAAATTTGACCTCCAGAGTTCCACATTGGTTAAAGCCACAAACGTGTGCACTTTGCAATCTAATGAAAATTAAATTAAGTCTTAAATGCACTTGCACAAGTAATTCCATAATATAGCTAAGTCTCACTTGCTTTCTATCTATGGAAACATCATTTCAGGGTTCAAGTAGGGACAAAGCACTCAGCCTCTTCTTCACCATATTCACTGTGAAACAGTTTGAAATAAATATTTTGTGTTTCTACTTCTATAATTATTAATTACAATTATAATTATTATTAACTAACAAACCACTGCATGGTGCCAATTTAACACTGCCTATCACAGTATGTTCAATCTTCTGGCAAGTTGCTTTGAAAGCAAACAGACCCTGACTGGAATAGATTTCAGACAAATTACCTGCTCTAATCAGAAGTTTTGTTTAAGTGCTTGTAGGTTAAAGCCATCTTGTTAAGCTGCTAAATTACAAGAGCTTTGTGAAAACCATCTGCCACTGTCTCAGCTGCTTTTATTTTCTAAACGAGAATGCAGTTCTGAGGGTTTTTTGCTTGTTCAGTCTAAAAGATAAATATTAAGCTGGAAGGCTAAACATAGATGTAATGTACAGTATCAGCATTTTTCAAAGTATACATCAACCTGTTTACAGACCCGAAAGGGAAAAAACTAGCTTTGCATTTCACTTAACTGTTCAAATGAAAATCATGTTAACAGTAACCAATAGTCATCATGAAGCAAAGGAAAACATGTTTTACTTTAAACGTAATGTGCAGATTTGCCAGGAAGATTTTGTAGATTGTTACTGTTATATGAGGTAAACAAATGTCCATTTCCTGTTTGACTTGTTGTTACTCACTGAACTGACTCAGCAGTACCATCAGCAGCAGTGGTACAAAAGATGATTATGCTTTATAATCAGGAGCTTTTCTGGTGTAATGGAGTGCCTACAAAGCACGATAAAGCACTGAAGTGGCTCCAGAGCCTGAGGGGACATATGCAGCCAGCCTACCAATTGCATCTCACATCTGCATGTAAGCTGTGCACACAGCCCTGTTGGTCTGCTCTTCACATAAATGCATCATTGATTGCCATTTGGTAAGCCATTAATCCATGTAAATGGATTCAAGAATGAGGGCTATACAAAAAAAAAAAAAAAGAAAAAAAAGAAACAAACAAACATGCAATTTAAAGTAACCCTTTCAGAGCCGAGGCAGAAAGATTTAGCCTTTAAGTAGTGGCCCAGGGGCACAAGTCAGGACTTAGTAAATGGATAGTGGTGAAAGCATGCCTAGGTGGGTAAAGCTCCCAGAAAGAGTGAGCAGGCAAACAAACAAACAAATGAATGAATGAATAAATGTGGATATCATACCTCGTCTGATCCTGAGCCAAAGATAAGAAGGTCAAAGGGGATTGCTGCTACCATGTCTATAAGGAACCAGCCTTTAAAGTAATGGATTGCTATCTTAGTTGGATGGCTGACCACCTCCTCATTCTGGTTTACATAAGTGGTCCTGAAGTTTATGAGGATGTCAATGATGAACATGATGTCCACGATTAAGTCGATGACATTAAGAGGACTGCAAGAATATCCGCATTCGCGCCTCTTCTGCTCCTCTTGGTCGTTGAGAAGAAAAGCAGCAGAGTAGGGTGTCAGGATTGCTGTGTATATGACCAGAAGCAGGATCAGCCAGTCCCACACAGCTTTGAAAGGGCTGTAGTGGAGGATGGTGAACTTGTCAATGCGGGCTGTCTGGAATTTGTACTCTGGCAACACATCAGCTCCAAGTGACAGGACCTGAAGGAGTGGTAAGAGAGGGTCAGAACAACAAGGGAAACCACCTGACTATGCCACTCCACTTTGATCATTTATTTTAATATGGATCAACCTCTTAGTTGCCTTGGATCACTGATATTAAGAAACCTTTTTTTTCTGTCACCTGTCTTAATTGATGCTGGTAGTCCTTCTTTTTGTTGAATAAAAAAAAACAAAAAACAATCTGTTTGTGGCTCATCTGTCTGACAATTTGATCATAGACAGCTTAAGGTCTACTTTTTATTTATATGAACACAAAGGTATTTTACACACCACACAGGCTTCAAGGACTGATCTGATAGCTGAGCTGACACCCAGTGGTGAAAGAGGTGCTGAGATTGTTCACCTAAGAAAAAGTTTCAATATTACAATGTAAAATAGTCTGTTAGTCTGTTATAGGTAAAAGTGATAGATTCAAAATGTTACTTATGTAAAAGGACAAATGTATCAGGACCAAAAGTAAAAGTAGTCATTATGCAGAATGGCACATTTTGCACTGATGTATATGATATCATTGGATTATAATTATTGATGCATTGTTTTTGTCACTTTAATGTAGCAACTGGTAAATGTGGAGCTAGTTAAACTACCTTACATACTTTGTACTTTGTTTTATAATTTGAAGAAAATTGTGCAGCAATGAGGATAAGTGCAGTTGGCCAATCTCTTCATTTCAGCACATCCCTCTCTCTTCAACACATGAATTATAGATTTCCTTATGCTAGCAGTCAGGAGGTAGATGCAGTGTTCACATCTAAACAGTGTCCCCAAACTCCAAACTAAACTCAGCAGGGAGAGTATTGAATCATGATGGTGGGCCGTCTTCATTTATGAATGAGAAAGCTGTGTTGGAAGAATGTTAACTCTAAGGTTTCTAGGCCTCTCTTCCACTCGGGTGCTGCTGTCATTGCCTGGAGGTACAGCCGACATGATGAAACCGATGAATAGCCCTATCTGCACTCCTAGCCATCCCCTTCTGAATTACCCATGGCTGATGCTGATGGGTGTGGGAATTTTTCCCTCAACATTATCCCCACTTTTTTTTTTTTTAATTAAGAATGCCAGTTACCCAAGTCCGAGTCATCAAGGTCTACATTAAAACAACTGACACAGGTCTCACCATTTCAAAAGGAGTTTGTTTACTGTGTGTGACACAGTAAACAAACAAACTTGTACTAAACAAACTTTCTGACTCACCTGTGTGACTTTCTCTGTGACATTGTGAGTTCTGTCTTTGACCTTTGGTGCTATGATTGTTTTCTCAGACGTTGGTGGAGAGTGAGTCTTCTTATCAGTCACCTCAGAGAAGTTGAGTGCGATCAGAGGGATCTTATTGATAGTGCTATACTTGTTGATATTAGAATCAGAGGTAGAGCCAAGCAGGCTGGACTTCAAGTGATTAAAAGGACCTGGTGGTTTAGAAAAAATAGAGGTCACATTAGTGCCCTTAGTAGACCTGTGTTATCTTGGTTAACTGAACTACACTCTGTAAGATTTAAACTTTATTTTGGCATCAGTGAACTGTTGAAAAACTACATTAGTTTTTCTGCAAATGGGGCATGCACTAAAGGTCAGCTAGCTCATGCTGAGAATAAGGTCGGTTACTATAAACTGTACTGGCTGTGAATTAAACAGCTACAAATTTGGCAGAACTAGTGATTCATATAGGGATTTACCATTTAACATATTCCTAAAAGCAAAGGTTTGATATACTGTGCATCTGTTTTATTACTGTTTATGCATGTGTCAACAAATATACTGTGTTAACAGAATGGCACACTAGAAGTGCATCTGTAATCATTTTAAAGGAAATGTCATGCGTGGCAACAGAAAACAACTACGTACAGACAAGGTGTATCTGTAACTTAACATTGGTTGGTTTATAGCCAGCTATGCACTTGTTTAGGATTTTCCTCACACTTACTGTGTGCTTGGAATATTAATCGTTTAACAGAGCAACAAACTTTATAACTTTAACTATACACTAATCACAGACTGAAACTGAATGGGAAAGTGTGCTGTAGTACATACCTTCACTTGTTTGGCGATCCTTGAATACGCTTTTAGAATTGGAGCTATAGCCCTCAATTTCATGGACGGATGAGGCTCGCCTCATGCTGTTGATGCTGCCTCTAGGGAAGGTGTTTGACAGGGAGGTAGAGGACTGGGGCGGTTCTCCCTGGTACAACTTCTCCCAGGGGAGCTTTGGGGATGAATGGTCAATTGGTTCAGGACCAATGCTGGCCTTGGAAGAATGGTGTCTTGAGCCTATGGGGGGATGTGTGTCATTTGCCTCAATGTGACTGCCAGTGGTCTTTGTGGGTGAGGGGAAGTTCTGCAGGGCCACTGAAACCTCATTCTCTTTGGGCAAGTCCACCATCACAGCATCTGGGTCCTCTTGCAGAAGAGATTGCTTGTTGATGTTCATTAGGCTAAAAGCAGCCTGGCGGAAGCGGACGAATCTACTCCTCCCTAAAAATTGAGAATAAATTATGTGAAGCCTTGTTCAGCTTTTGGTATACAGCACAGAAAAATATAAATATCCTTCATGTTTGGATGAGAGTCTTCTTCAGCTTAAAACATGAGGGAAAATGGAAGCAACACTATCTCATTATCTATACCGCTTATCGTATAGAGTGCCCTGAAGTTGTGTCTAGTTTGGGGGTGGCTGGTGCTAATCCCATTCCTACATTGGGTGAGAGGCAGGGTACAACCCGGACAGGTCACCAGTTTACCACAGGGCTGACACAGAGACAGACAGCCACCTACACTCACATTCACACCTACAGACAACTTAGAGTCACCAGTCAACCAAAGCCCCATGTCTCTGGACTGTGCGAGGAAGCTGGAGTACCTGGAGGAAGCCATGCAAACAGAAAGGCCCTGTTCGGCTGCAAGGTTCCTTCTTCCTGTGAGGTGACATCTCTAACCACTGCACCACCTTGCCACCCATAACTCATTTTGTTAAAGCAGTGCAGCCAGTAGAGAACAGTGCAATAAGTGAACACCACCGCTCATTGTCCCAACAATATGCTAACCTGTTATTGGATTTGCAGTTTATGCCTTTGCTAAGTTATTTTAGAGCCCTAGTGCTTTCACTCAGTGTCAACAATAATGTAGAAAAAGTACAGGGAGGCAGGTGCTAAAACATGTTCTCTAATAAATAATAAAACCAGTATAAGCTGGCTCATGTTTCTCAAGTGTTTGGGCCTACATGTACTTTTTAAAATTAATCTCTTAAAGGATGTCCACATTGTATTTGTCCACAGGCAAACAGATTTCCAGTAACATCTGCAAGCATTTCTGTAACTGAGCCTTCGCATCTTAATTTACAAAACAGTATTTGATAGCAGCATATTATACGCTCTAGTGCATATTAAATATATTCACTCTTTGAAGAATAGTGAGCAAAACTTTTAAATGACGGTAAAGTGGGAAGAAAAAATGATTTGGCCACAATTAAACATATTTCTTTCAGTGCCCAGAAGAAGAGAAGGAGTAGATTGTGCAATCACTTTATTACACCTCATACATTTGAGACAGGAACCTATAATAGTTAAGGCACAGCCACAGTAGTAAGTGTTAGTGTCCTCTTGGGACAAAGTGAAAGTTTTGACTCAACACATTCCTCAGCACCCTTCTTACATAAACTCATCTCTTTCCATTCCCTGGCTGAATGTGCTGATGTTACAACTATAGTAGCTTCCCCTAGAGCCATGACACACAACAGGTTTCCTGGAGAAGAACCTAATGACATCCTGAGCTGGTGGACGATATGGACAACCTTCCTGTCTCTTCTCCGTAGGGAGACTGTGTCATATGTACTAAGAATACTCTTGACTGTTGCTCTTGGAAAATTTTTATAGGCTATGTCTATGTGACATATTTTGAAAAGGTCTAGCACATAGCACATGTACCATCTGGCTTTTCTTTTGGAAATGTTCATAATGTGGTCCTCGAAGGGGCGTTCCTTATTGTTATTTATATAAAGGTATACTGTGGAGACTTGAGCTGTGAAGTTGGCTTGGCAATATTTGGTTTAATCACTGATTATTTTGTCTGAGTTATTGGTCTTGTTTAAATTAGAATGCATTTCATTACTGTTGGGTTTATGGTCATTTAGATTAGACAGGTACAGTATCTGTCTTAATGTGTTGCTGGCTTTAAAACCCACATTAATCCTGTTTCGATTAAGCAGTCTCCTTAAACTTTTGGAGACTTTATCTAAGTATAGGATGACTATTATTAAATCTCCTCTGCTCTGGCATTACTGGATCTTGCTGCTTCCTGAGGATACTTAAAAGCAGCTTCCAGTGCCATCTCCACATCTCTTCTCAGGTGGTTCCATGCCAAGTCACACCTTAATTCATGGGAGTCTGATGACTCACACATAACTGTCGTGATCTTAACAACTCATGCTGTATGTGGCCTTAATGACTCTCATGTGACTTTAAAGAGTGAATCCTGTCGGAGACTCCACCACTACTGAGTGTAGACTTCTAAATACCATATTACCTGGATGAGTAACTTTGGGCTCTATGTTCCTGCACAGTGCAAGTATATTTGGATTCCCAAACACCACTTGCACATCACCTCTGGCTGCACCCAGTATAGGCCACAGATGGTGCGTCCTGACACACACCAACACTATTTGACCATATTCATATCTATATCCACCATGCCGCCAGCAATATATTATTCAGAGTGAACTCCAGCAGATCAACTGTGGATTTAAGGGTTAATTTTAAGTTGGTGGTCCATTAAAATACACCGGGGGGACCTGATCTTGTGCTTCCCAGCCTATGCACTTGTCAGAAAAACTGCAAATGCACCTGCGAACGTGATAAGAGGTAGTCTGAGGAGGTGTTATTGTTATCACTCTTTCTGGTCAAAATGCACTGCTTAATCAGCATACACATGGCCTCTCTTCCCACATTAGTGTAAGAAAAATCATTTATGGCAGGAAAATACCAAACACACCAATGTGCAACAAAAAGCAAACGTGCGCCGGAGGAAAACTGCATAACAACTCCGAATGAGGCAAAGCAGAAATTGTGCTGACAGGAAAATAGATCCCAATGTCTTACAAGGGGAGCTGATTTCCTGTTACACTGGCAAAGCTTTGTCAATTATCCTCCCCAACAGATATGTTTATTCATATTTCTTAGAGTATAATCAGAGCTTAAAGGTTCAGATAGTATAAGCTGTTTCAGAAACTCTATAGCATTTTTATATAAAAGTAATCTGTTGTATTCTACAGTGTATCACATGGATTCAGTTAGATTGAACAGTAAAAAGAAACCCCTAAGTGCAGTCGATCTTTCCAATATATTATTTGTATCATTTGGTTCTAGCTTGGGGATGTGAAAGGATACTGAAGGCAGAATCGTGTGTGTTCCAGATGGCAGCTCAGGTAAAGAGGGACTGCTCTGCTCCAGGTTCGGTATTGTGCTACTGTGCTGTACTGTTGACAATTGTCAGCTTATAGCTTGCTGTCAATACCAGACCATAATTAGCCCCCAGTGTCCAAAAAACACTCTTTAGAAGCTGCTACACTAAAATGCAGGACTAAGCTACAGTATGTGGAAATGTTGTCCTATATTATTTCAGGTGAAATACAAAAAAGGTGGCTTCTTCTTTTGAAAACATGTCAAAATTCTTCCTCTGTTACTGAAACAGCTCTGCCATTTTTCTCTGAGAAAACTGATAAAATCCCTGAAGCAGAGAAGGTATGTATGAACCTGAAGGATCAATAATCTTGGCTCAGAAATGCCACGCAGTCAGGATTATTTTGAAATGATTTCCAGCAAACGTCTTGCTTGACTGCTTGGCATAATCGTATGTGAATTGTGATATTTCAATGAAACACACACACACACACACACACACACACACACACACAAAGAAATACTGAACATCTAGTGTGCAAACAATTAATTTGCACATAATACTGTATAGCATGAAAGTTCAATACAAGATTATTAGCATCAGTCCTTATAAGCTCATTTAAATCAAACTAGTGGGGGCTAGAGCCAATCCCAGCTGGCAAGAGGCAAGAGGCAGGGTACACCCTGGACAGGTCGCCAGTCTATCACAGGGCTGACACATAGACAAACAACCACACACACACACACACTCACTCCTACGGGCAATTTAGAGTCACCAGTCAACCTAAGATGCATGTTTTGGACTGTGGGAGGAAGCCGGAGAACCCGGAGAGAACCCACGCAGGCACAGGGAGAACATGCAATAACATAACACGGATATAAATAAACATTTTCAACAAGATAAGGTTACAAACCATTCCTTCTCTGCATGCATGGAATTGTATTTTATTTACAGTATATACATATGAACTGTACTGTACAGTACTGGAAACCTAAATACAATTTCAGAGAAGCTGGCAACATGTTTGGAAGTTACACTAAGCTAACCAAAATCTCCAGTACTTTATTAAAAGATGTAGAGGATTACTTTGATTAAATGAATAATCTCAGTTACAGTTATCCACTTATGATGTTGCCATTTATTAAAGGAAGGTTTAATTTAATTTTGACAAAAAGAAAAATACAACAAATGCAGAACACATGCAGTACAATGCATGATTTATGGGTTAGAAGGAGAAAATGACATTTCAACTGATAAAAAAAATACAATAACAGTTCCATTTAATCCATAGCAATGCTTTATTTGGTATATGAAATACTCACTTTGATCCAACTTTGTAGGGGATGTGGGGCTTATCTTCTCTGTGGAGGTGTCACTTCCCTCATCCAGGATATAGTCAAAATTTAAGATAAACATGATCACCACGCCCTCCTCATTCTTCACTGGGATTATGTGAGTGTTGCACTGAAAGTCAGTCCCTGAAATAAACCAAAACAGCTGAATCATATACAGTCATCTCTGCTTTGTCTGTATCTGTCATTTCTAAGAGGGTTAATACTGTCCCAAGATGTCTTTAATGTGCTCAAAGTAAAACTACTGTATATTAAAAACATGCTTATGGAAAACCAGACAAGTCATTGTAGAAGCCATCATGTGGAACATTAACAGAAATCTAAAACTGACTTAACACCACCTGCTTTTACATTCATGTTTGGAAAATTGATCCATTCATGTGCCCTTGTGTGTTTAATATGTGTACCTTGTGTATTTACTGAGCAACACAACATGACTAAGCTCAGGGAACTTGGAGGGCTACAGTATAGTGTAGACAACATGGTGCAGAATAGAAGAATAGATCAGGTGGACAGGAGAGATTACAGCCAGTTTAGTGGACAGTGGTGAGCTTGTAAAAATAATCACTAGAACTGAGCACCATGTGAGGCAGCGGAGCAGATAACAATCCATGATCTAAACTTAGTCTTGAGCCCAGAATATCACCATTTCTCAGCTGCATTGGTTATAGCTGTGTTAGCAAAAGCTGCTGTTGCCTGCAGGCACAATTGCCCGCTGATAAAACTCTCTACCCACTGGACTCTAAATGACAACACAATAGCTACCATACAGAGGAGGACATTATCACAGTGACCATCTTGTCAGAGCATTTGTTATCCTTGAAATTACTCCACATTTCCACACAGAATCAAAAACTACTGGCGCTCTTGTAGCTTCTATCAATGTAAGCTTTTTTTTTTTTTTTTTTTTTAGAAAACATGCTAAATAGTAATTGTATTTATGTTTTTGGCACTAGCCTATAGAATCATAATGTCTAATACTAAAACTATCCCTTTGTCACTCTATGGGTCTGTCTGTCTTTTTGTGCAGCTTGTTGTGTTACTCCTACTCACAGAAGACACATATTACCAGTGTTCACTGTAATCTCCTCAGGGCTCACAGACGCCCTGCCAGCAGCATTCATTAGCAGTAGACTTGCTGTCTGACTAAATATAACAAGCTAGTTTTTTTTAAGGATTTCTGCATCAAAACTCCCAGAAGTAATGTTGCACTGTCACCAGTGACAACATGATAATGTGATTTTAAAACAGAAAACAAAGAAATGTGAGAATATAGGTAGAATTCAATGTTTCAACAGAATCATGTGATTTGATGGGAATAAAAAAAGGAAGCACTTATGTACAGTATGTGCTGTATGTTGATATTAAACCCAGTGAATGTGAACTACAGTACACACTCATCTTGTCTGGTGTCATGGGTGCCTGGTTATGTTCTAAAGTAGGGGAGCGATGCTTAGAGAGCAGGGGGAACTTTAAGTCCCACTCCAGAGAATCCCTTTTTCATAAAAAAGCACTTTCCAGCATTTCCCAGAAAACATTCATCTAATTCTACAGTGTCCCCTTTAAAAGGCAACATTTTGGGTTTTGACTTTCTTCTGTTTGATTCAACAGTATGCTCCGTTATCACAGTGAAGAAAAAATGAGAGCTCCATTCAGTATTGACTTTTAATTATCTGATAAAGCCTGTATAAATTAAAATACATGTTAACAGAGCCTCAAAGCTTTTTCTCTAATCTCCAAAATGATACTCATAATTATTGATTTTGTGGCATTTGGGCCTTTGTTCTTGTAGAAAGAAGACGAGAACAACGTGCAGCAAAAAGTCCCCGGATGGGTTGTAGCATACTGGGCCAAAATGTACAGACACAGTAGCTTTTTTTTTTCCTGTTGTAGGTCTGTAATATACTAGGAAAGGTATGGCAAAATACATTTAGCCACCCAAGAAAATTAATTACAGTATATGTACTGCACAGCATTTGTGGGGAATTTTTAGTGGAGGGATGACAGAAATCAAAGTAGATAAATAAATGCAGCAAATGGCAAAACTGAACCTATGATGTTCAAGGTCAGTGTCTTTACCCCTAAGCTATAGAATGCTCCTAGTTATAATGTTAAACTGCAAAATGTTTAGCCTTGTGCATTCTAGGTAAGACAAAAAAAACATGACACTTCCCTATATGAGGTATCTTTTATGGCCTTAGCTAAATATAGAGCAAGGCAGAGGTACACTATGTGAGGACACATCTGCCATGTCCCCTTTGCTCCATTGCTCAGGCATGCAAGTACACTTGATCTAAATTTTGCTTGATGTCAGCGGTCTTCGAAAGTTTTAAACACAGAGACAATAACCCATGCATTAAGTATGAGTTGCTCAAGTTTACTGAATGCTGCAGTGAGCACATAAATTTAAAATGTTTCACTTAAGAGCTCGGGGTTTCCCTACTGTGTGTTTGAATGCTTACAGTACATGTAAATTCACTGTGTTCATTTTCTTATTTATGTTTTTCTTCTACAAAATATTTTAGACATTATAAGCAACATCCGTGTGTGTATGATGTAATGTTACTGCAGTGATACGGAGGCACTGGATATCAATGTACAAAGAAATACAAAATGCTAACAAAATACTGTAAAAATCCTTAAGTTACATGCTCTAAAATCACCCATCAGAAAAAGAAAAGCTAGGAGTAACAATGTGAATTTTTATACAGCATTAAGTTAATGACAACAGACATCTAGTGTACATCACAGAATAATGCTCCGCGTAAAGCCAAGATGGTAAATTCAGCAGAAATATTTCTGGGCTGGAGTTTACCTTACCAGATGGGGAAACAATAGTCATGCTTAAAGGCTAAGCCATGGGGGTCTCTTCTCATCTGGTCCCCTGCTGAATGTCACCTCTACCGAAATGGTTCAAAGAAATGCTTCTCTACTGTGGTGAATCAGCAGAGACTGTGCTGATTTAAATTTCATCTGCTACATTCTAGTCACTATATTATTATTTTGTAAACAAATGTATTTGTTTACAATTTGTATTTGGATGGGTGGGTGGATGTATTTGCATATAATTCTTGCATCCAGCTAAACAAAGGCGACTACTTTGTGCATAAAACAGAGTGCCTTTCTTTCCTCCACCTAAAGTCGGGGACAGTAAACCCTGTTTATGGCAGGACCTGAAGAATGACTGGTTCAGCTACCTAATGGGAACAGCGGTATTATTCATCTCCTTTTTGACCACTCTAAGTAGTTTTCTGAATATATTTTGGTAGGTAAAATTAGAAGCTCAAAGTTCACCTGTATAAATATTAAATCTTCTTATTGAACTACACCTTATCCAGTGCATCCCATAATACCATGATCATTTTTGTATATTGAAAATTGTGTTATTGACATGTATACTAAAACAAAACTCAAACTCAAACCACTCCCCACAATGGATGGATGGATTAATGGATGAATGGCATCCCTGCATTTAACTGTGGCAAATGGAGGCTCTTATGGTAAATAAGGAAATTTGCATTGCACATAAACATCTAGGGCTGCACGATTAACAGTATCGTCAGCGTGATATAAACCCCTATGCGATCTCTGTCTCATGTGACAATGATTCTGCCTTTTTGCATTAGCAGGGACACACCTTGCATCAAACCAAGCGCTCCCTTTTCCTCACTAAGATGCGTCAACCAACAGCAGAAATGGGTTACATCACATGATGAGCTGTAGACAGGAAGAGAAGACTGATTCAAAAACGAATCCAACATGTCCACAAAATATTCTGTTCCATCCTGCAACTATTATCAAACACTGCCCTTCCTGCCCTGTACATCTGGTGCTGAACAGCGGTTGAGGCGGGAAAAAAAATATCACAGCGGTTATTAGTTGTAGTTATTGGTTAACACAGCTTAGTGAGGAATCTTTAATATATTAAAACCTATCAAACCTTATTTTATAGATTGTATGTACTGTAGGAGTTTTAAAACAGTGGAAAGTTGGTTGTTGTAGTTTGGGCTCCTTATCAGCACAAACAGTGGAGACAATTAGGTTAGGGTACTTAAAACAACTTGGTGCCCTACTGCCGCAATTTGATTAAAAAAAGACACATTACTTACACATTACGAAAATAGCATGATCTCAGATGTCCACTGCAAATAAACGTCCACAACCTCACTTAGAAATAGTAGAAAAAGACGGTTCTTATAACACCAGTATCAAACCAATGCACTGACAACTGGCAATATATCTAATGGTACGTAGCAAACAGCTACTGCTAATAGCGAATTTGGCGTAGTGTTACTCACTTTATTGAAACGTATCCTAAACATGCTGCAGACCACAGCACAATTAACTGAATCCATGGCAATGTACCTCCTTTTTCTTACACGGTAACATTACATGTTTATCATTCATTTAAGTGAAGACGTTTAAGGCTTAACGCGACGTTGACCAAAGCGTAGCTAACATCACCGAACGGCTTAACGGACGTAAACAAACTTGACAGCAGCGTAACTCGTTTGATTGACAGGTGATAGGGCGGGACATCTGTGTACTTGATTGGATTGCCATTTAGGGACATCTGTGTATTTGATTGGATTGCCATTTTACTGAGCGAAGTTCTTTTGTGTAACGTTTCTAGTTACATGCATTTAGTTGCATGCGTTGTAGGCTACACACTATATAATCGCTGAACCTTTAGGCGAGCTACTGGTAGTGTTGGCGACCCCTGGTGGTCACAGTATGTCCAAAAATAACAGAATACATGCATCACAATGTTACTGTAAAAGTGAAATATATACTACTGTCAGCTAAATGTCCAGCATTAAATTAAAGCTCTTTGCTTCAACTCTCCTCTTACAGCTGATAAAATTCTGACCTTGGTAAATTTCAGCACACAAGCTTCATTATAGTGTTCAGTATGTGTGCTAGACTGCAGACCATTTAGCCAGCCTTGCTATTCTTCTGCAGCACCGTCCGAACATGGCCAAATTGTTAGAATCACTGACAGTAGAACAGTTTGGACCAGTGAGAGGGTGGCTGTCCATTCATTCCCTGACCTATATATAGAGAGTTTCCCTGCGAGCCAAGAACTGTTATTTACACCTGCTTGAATGAATGGACGGTGTATTAAGGATAGGTCTCTTTTCATGATGGAAATTTCATTACTGTAGATTCTATTTCCATCATCAATTATTAAAACATTCTAATTAATCCAGTGATCCTTTGAACACTATTACAATGAAGACTCAGGTCAAACAGAGTTGTGCTTAAATGCAAGATAAAATATTTGGTAGTGTTATATTATGTAGCAGAGCGAGTGCCACTATACATCTTTTTATGTTGTTGTTGTTGTTGTTTTTTTAAAGAAGCTTTTCTTATTTGAACCTCACTTTTCAATTTGGATGTACTGAGGCTTCCTGTTAATCTGCTAAGCTGATTTGATTTAGGGAGAAACATGAGTAATATTGTTGAGCACAAATGTATTTATTTGTTTTGTTTGTTTATTTGTTTGTTTTTTATAAATGCACTATCACCAAGTGCAGCTTTTAAAAAGTACAGCCCCAGACTGTTGCCTAGTCATAAGTCTTGCATAATGAAATCTGACATATTTCTAGTTTAAGGCCATTCTGCTTAAGCCAATACACTGTGTTACTGGGGCATAGCCAATTGGGACTAGGACATGTATGGAGAGGCCATGCCAGCAAACCCTTTGTTTGGAATCCTTGGGTCTTGTTGCAATATCTTGCCTCACTAAAAACTGCTGGAAGCTCCACAGCCTGACCTAATTTCATTTTCAATCAGTGTCTCCAGAGCCATCAGAGATAACTAGCAGCTCCAGCTCAAACTCCATTTCATACAGTGTGTGTTTACAGTTATGCAATCATGATATTTGATCTTTTATTCTGTTTAATTCAGCACAGATTTTGTTAGATTAAATTAAATGGATGATAAAAATTAAAGTTAACATACAGTACATGATTTAGAGAAAAACAGATGGTATGAAGAGGAATATTAGATTACCACCTCCAGTACAAGCAACCCACAAGATGACTATCCAATGCAAAGTGAGACCCGCATTGTTGTAGTGTTTAAAGCTCCATCTGCTCTTCCTCACTACCACTACAATAGTTTCAAATCCTAATTATAGGCAGCAATGGTAGCACACAATCTGATATATAAATAAATATGCAAATTTAGCAGCAATTAAACTGATATTAATTTCCTCTCTTTGAAATGAGCTCAACTTACAGCATGTGTTGCTTTCACTCGGACAAGCTGATTTCTCTCTAACAATTGAAACCTGATAAGGAAAGCTCTGTATGTGTTTCATCGTGAGACACCAAAGAGGGGTGAGTGTGATGAAATATGGATGTACTCTTTTGGAGAGCAGTCATCCAAGTGTCCTGCAGCACACCTCGTGCACTGTAAGCACTCTGTCCCCTTTCTCTCGCTCCCTTGCTGATAAACCTGCAGTAGCTGTACATGACCCTTCAGTACCCTCGGTGGGGAGTCACCTATGAAACCCTGCACCCCTGCATACCAGGTGTCCCAGATCATTCAATACAGTTAGCTAAGCTGCTGCTGTTACAGTATGTAGCCATTATCCATTTAACTTCTCTCTGCTGTGTCAGCTTCCTTTTGTTAAGACTCATTCAGGTACAAAGTATTATTACACCCCATGGAACAGGATAGCTTAACAAAGCCATCGAGGTATAGTAATTGTCTCATTGATTATGCGTTTATCACTGGAGGATGAATGCACATGTAGTATCTTTTCACACAACCCTTCTTTGGTTGTTCATCTAGTCATCTAGAGTGAAGCATAACAATGAAAAGAGTGTGCCCTTGTGCCTTTTTAGTGCACCCATGTTCCCCATTGTTCCACCACTTTTCATTTCTAAGCATATGCATAAGCAGCCTAACTTTCTGCCTTTTCAGTGAAAAAAGCTAAAGCTTTGTTGCTCCAGCTGTCAGAAAGCTCTTCAAATCCTAATATTACATTTTAGGATATCTGACTAGTTATTGATGGGAGAGGAAAAAACAAACACTATGTCACATTGTGATTCCTCTCAACTTTAATTTTCATAATTTGGAATGGCATCTCTTATGTGATAAACACAGAAAAATAGAATGAATACTGTTAACTTATTTGCTTGATGTTCTTTATGAACATGCCTGTGTGATTTCTGTAGGTGCATGGAAAATGGGAAGCTTTAATACAAAGGATTAACTGGTTGGCATGAAATGCAGTTAGGAGAGGAGACATGAAATGCATCCACTTTCCACACATATAGTAAGCTTCAATTTGTAGAGAGACTTGAATCAATAGAGCCATCACTTAAAAGGATTTCAGGAATCTTTCATTCCTCTGGAGCAGTGGGAGTGTGTGGATTGTGTCCTCCGTAACAGTTGAATGTATTTACACTGTAAGCTGCTCATTCTGCACTGTCAGCCCCTGACATCTTTATTCATGAGCACACGCTCAGTGTAAATTCTGCTGCCAAGTATTAGGAGTTGTGTGTTAAAGCTGTGATGCACATCAGGAAGGATTGGGAAGTGACAGAGAGCAACGGTTACCTTAGAAGGTTTCTGTAGTCTTCATCTGCTGTGCTTTAAACACAACAGGCACATGACTTTTTTTAGGTGAAGTACAACACATGTATGTTAGATGGGAGGATGGGAAAGTAAACCTTACTTGTCAAAACCAAGCTGTTCGCACCCTCACAAGGAACCCTAGAGTGTTTTGTGTAATTGTCTTGCAGTTTTGTGAAACAATCTATTTTAGCAGTGTAGCAGCTGGCTCTTGGTTTCATCGTGATTAGTGATTAAAAAAAAAGTCCACGCTGATGGCTGCTGATGGTAGATTAAACATGTATCCATGGCCTAGAATCTAATCAAACTCACAATTAAAAATTTAAACCCTGGCTTCTTATGATTAAATTAATTTTTTTTTCAGCTCAGACACATAAAGCTGTTTGTACTTGCCTTGGAAGAATATGAGTAAGCAACATGAGCTCAAAGTAACAATATATCCAATATGAAAAACATGCCGGCTTCTCTTGGTGCAAAGACTGGTGCAGCAGTTGTGCTGCCTTACAAGAGGCATACTTTTGGATTGACTCTGCACAGCTGTGCCACAAAAAGCTGATGTGAGAGTCTGGCACGAGGTGGTCAATCCATGGATTTGGGCCATTGGGAGGTAACATCGTGGTCATTCATAACAGGACCAGGATTGGGCAAAAAGATGAATGACAAACACCAGTCTAGCACTAAAGGGAGAGCGTTTTTAAGCAAAGATGGCAACCCCATTACACGTTAAGCATTTTTACAGATTAGTGGATTGATCCACTGGCTACTATAAGTACTGTCCATCTTTGCTGCAAACCACAACATGGCTACTGTAAATGCACCACAGATCTGTGAGTACACAGTGAGAGTATATTATTTGAAAAGTACAAAGCAGATGGATTTATAGTGGCATCTGAAAGCCTTATAAACTCGACAGTGCAGCAGATGAGCTGTGTCACACACTATCTCTGCTGCACACCGTCATTTTGGCAGCCAAAGTTTTTCTGTCACCCAGGCACATGATGCTGTGAATCAAATCAGGTGCCAAAAAGATCATTTCCAACTTTACGTGCCTGACAGAGTTACAGTGAGGCCTCCTCTGTATTTTAAACATTATCATACAGATTAGCGGATTGATCCACACAGTATCATATTATATTTAATGCAACAATATTTCTCTTTTGCTTTTCAAGGACTTTATTCATAATCCTTCTTCATGCATGTGTCAGTGAGGCTCAGAGTTATCTGTTTACCTTCACACAGTGCTGTATATTTTACTTACTCTGCCTGGTTGGTATCAGAGTGAGTGGCCTCAACATGAAATGGACATAACATGGAGCTGTAGCAGGTGCTCTTTCAGGAGCAACACAACACAAAAGACCACTCTCGACTTCCAGACACGCTGTGACAGCTATACTCTTGTGCCAGGTCACTGACTTACCATCCTTACGGTAGTAGGTGATCTCCACCTTGCGCTCCTCGGACCCTAGCACAGCCTGGGACACCTGGTTGATGGCTTCTTTGTCTGTCAGGTCACCGTGGAGGAAGTCACAGGTGCATGGCTTCTGCATGATGTCTGGTCTGGAGAAGCCTGTCATCTCACAGAAGCCATCATTGCAGTATATGATTGCACAGTTCTCCACCCTGGCATTGGCTATCACAAATTTCCGGTCTGCATGAAAATGAAAAGTACATGGTGTACTGTCTGCTGTGACACATCTGACCTCAGAGCCTACATCACAGGGTCAGCTCATGAATAAAATCAATCAAGTTGATTCAGTTCATTGTCACTTCTTGAACATTTCACTGAAACTATATAGAAAATAAACAGTTTGCCAATGAATTGCTCAGCAAACCTTATAAAAAAAACAAGAACAATTCAGCCTTCTGGTATGAAACAAAGTCATCCTAAAGTATTTTAATGGAATTCTTTACACAGGATAAACATATATTTATTCATCCATTTTTCTGTATAAAAATGTAAAAGCATCTACTTTGTAGCAGGTGCTCTTTCCGTAACCTGGTTGCAGAAACTGTACATCAAGAAGATACTTACTCTGACCCTCGAATTTCCGAATAATTATTCCAAGAAATGTGTTTTGTGGCGCAACGTGACCTCTTCTTACAGGCATGTTTATTTAGTCACAGAACATCTCACGATTTCCAGTATGAACACGCCTTTACAAGTAAATCCAGAAGTTACAGATGTTGCCTCTCAGCGATGTTTCCTTTACAACGGACCAGACCATACGGGAGCACTCTCTCCACTTTGAATGACCTTCTTACTTCGCCGAGAAGCTCTTTAGCCCGCTTGTATGCCTGAACATGTAAATGCCTCCTCGCCGAAACGCACGGATTCGGTGAGGATTGTTGTTAGAGTCAGTTCGCAAAGCATGTCGCGTTGAGGATGGATGGATGCGATCCTGACGTCCTCTGTAGTGCAGTGCTGGGCGCACAGAGCGGACAGCGGTTGATATGCCAAGAGAAGTGACGTTGCTCTCAGGGGGCTTAGTTCCCTCCACCTCCGGTAAATCGTATCCTTGTGCTTCGACAGTGAACATACAATACAGTAGTCGGAATATGCGCTTATGCGAAATTTATAGGCTATAAAATGTTCCCACAGTGACGGTACACTCTCAGTGAAGAGTGATATTTACGGTAGATTACAGTACTGTGCAGCTGATTCATACAACGAAGGATTTCCTGCAGTTATGTTTTCCACTCATGAAAAAATCATTCTTTAGGATTTTCACGTTTTGTAGGGATATCATTACCAAAAAGTGCACAGAATGGACCGCCGAATGTGCCCCAAATTAAGAGTGTAACAATTCCTATAGTCTACTGGTATGAAGGATAGAGTAAGCACTTTTTAAAATATCACCTGTCACTAAAGGTTACCACAGTTTATTAAAAAGTATAAGCTGTACAGTATTTATACAGCACAGATATTATTCAGCCTGTTAGCAGTCAATAAAATATTGAATAAAAGCAATAATAACATTTTGGACATCTCCCTGTGCCTGCGTGGGTTTTCTCCACATACTCCAGAGAGAACCCACGTCTGTATATGTCAGACTTCCAGTTTGTCACGAATATGATTACACCTTCATTTTAAGCTTCAGCATTTCTATGAACACATAAGATCTACACAAATCTACACTGAGGCCCTGTATACATACGTATATAATGTTTTTGCTTATCTTACTGTACTTGTAATTACATGTTCTCAGGAATGGTGTGGGTGTGTACAGACTGCATGTTTGATATCTCCAAGATGTACCTGTTAGTTTTGATGCACACAAATGACAAAATCACACCTAAACAATCCATAGTTTGGTCACCTGGTGTTGTTCTCATCACGATAGAACTTTAACCTATGGAGAGGTGTTTTCAGTAATTAAATAGATATTAAATTGATATTTTGGTGTGTAGGGCTTTTAAATAGCCACCTCAGGCATTTGTCTACCAAGAACTTTTTAAATTTGCAGTCCATAGTGGAGGATGATGAAATCAGGTGCTAATGGAAATCCAGATTAGATTTGCATTTAGCACACCTGGGTGGAAATCTTTCAGTACCAATCGTCTTCTCCTAAAACTTTGCAGAATAGGGAATAGTTATGGTGAAAATCTAATGATGCTCATGGAGGTTCAGTTCTGCTCCACTGTGTTCACTGCTGCATGAAATGCTTTTTTTTTTATTTTTAAATCAGGGCCACAACTGAACACTAGTGTTCATTTTAGAGGGTTCAGGCTTGCACTGCTGCTGGACTGATCCACTCCCACTAATGCCACTTAAATTATGAACTCCAATATTCTGTGGTGTTTTAACATTCACAGGTGTTGTATTTCCAAACTGATACACTTAATCCTGAGAATAATATCCAACATTTTTAGGATGTTGTTTCTCAACTTCTCAAAACATGAAAAGTAGAATAGTGATATAATGAAGCATATTTTAAGAGCAGCTTTAAATGCAATTACAGTTTTTCAGCTAAAGTGGTTTCAAAACAAAGCGTACCATGTCTGATATACTTACTGAGTATACACCAATGGAAATACTTCTATTTCTATCCTAATATGCATTTTATGCCTGAAAAATTTCAGAAATATTTTTCATAAACTATATATTTTAGACATTTTTGCTTTATTTTTGGATTCCACAAGTTGCTCTAAGTTTCCCCAGAAACTTTCAAAGTTAAACTCACTGCAGCATGAAGTGATTTTTGACTGAGGCGCTGTCCATGGTCCTGCAGCTTCAGTACCACTCTGTTCTCTGCTATACTTTACTGTTGTACAGTCTCCAGCTTCTAGTGCACTCACGCACGCGCGCACACACATTTTTTCGCAGCTATCTTTGTGAGAGCACTCATTGGCATTATGCAGGTCTCTAGGTGGTTGGTCTTTGCTTTTCTATCTGTTTAACAATACCACCCAATATCTGATTCATTTTTTGGGGTTTGGGAGCAGACCACGTCATCATGTAGTATGAAAAAGGCACTACTGACAATATTTATGAACCTTGGTGTTTTGTTTCCTTAAAGTTTATTTATTGGTAGCTTTAGTAGTGCTGCAGGTGTGTGGCTTAGGGTGAAAAAAATGTTCCAAGACTGAAGTTTCTCCTTCAGTTTTATTGGCCTACATTCAGATGATTGGGGCAAAACTTGTGACAGTACATTGTCCCTTCCCTTCTTTGCACTGCTATGGAGAAAGAGTTTACTTTAAATGTCAGCTTGAATAGCTTTTTATTTTTATTTTTACTTGCACTCAAGATAATGTTGGAGTGTTCAGACCTCCCAAGGCCATGATGTCTTTGTCTGATGTATTTTATTGGTTATGCATTAAGCCGCTCTGCAGCTCGTCATTATTACTAAGAATACAAAGGACATCCATTCCTCACTAACAATCAGTTTAGAATATCATGACATGTTTTTCTTTTCGATGTTGTTTATTAACTTAACATGTTTGGATAAAACCTGAAATGTTGTCTTTTCTAAAACCCTGAGTCCAGACTACTACTTTAATATCACAGTATTACTGTATGGCTGATGTGAAAGTAACATTGTTGTGCGTCTCATTTCTAGAAACATACCTGATTAATGCTGGCATACAATATATGCTGACTGGTAAAAGCAAAGGGGAGCAGTAGGTGGTTGAGAGCTACACACAAGGAGCAAAGGGGAGCAGTAGGTGGTTGAGACTTACTGAGAGCTACACACAAGAAAATCGATATCCCATGTGGAGTGTATAGATATACTGTAGTGTGCAACTACTCCAGCATGCTCACTTGTCTCACAATATGTGAGTTTAACTTGAAATTAAGATTCTAACACAGCTATTTTGCCATCTCAAGGGGTGAAGACAAAAAGAGCAAAAGCTTGACCTTTAAATTCTGCAGAATGCCATAAAGGTAGGTGTTAAGAGTGCACTGTACTATAAGGTGTGGTGTTTAGATGCATCTTTAAATACTATATCTGAAATGACAGTTCTTCAGTTTACAGTTACAAGAGGTTAGTGGTTGTGATCAGAAATCTGACAAGCAGACAGCACTCCACTCAGTGAAATTAAGTAGGTGAAACCCCAAACCTGTTTCACATAAGTCTTACTTTGCTGACGATAAGAAAACATTTACTTTAATGACATAGTATCTGATATTTTATCCTCAAATGGTGCAACTCAAACAAGATGCATGGACACATTCAATCTTCCATTAATGAGTAGTGTCTCTGACTGAACAAGAGATTGACATTCATCACTCTGTGGCTGCAGGACTAGTAATAAGCTTGTCAGGTTACAATAGCTTCAGCTTTGAGTGATTTCAAAAGAGAGAATGCAGTAGTGCTTTAGTGAAGAAGGAGCACCCAGACTTAAACCATCATGCCAACAAGCACTCTTTCTAGCAACAAAGGTGAACCCCTACCTGCTCTGGTGGGCCACAGCTGAGTTGAGCTATGTGGATGCACAAAGAAAAGTGAAAGCCCATTGGATCGTCTACATCAGGATCAACACTTTGACGTTTAGATTACATAAAGATATTAAAAAATAAGTTAGATTCTTGAATAAATCATGAGACATTTGTTTTTTTTCTGGACAATGTTTCAAAGGGCTACAGCACTGACACTTCCAGGATGCTCTGTTGTTGTTTTGAAAACCATGCTGCCATTCATTCATTTGGTTATTCATTCATTCATTCATTCCAGATAATCTCTTAGATTTAGAGCAATCTGAAAAACAGCAGCATCCACTGTCCAGGGCCTAATCCAGGCCCGACAGCAGTATATCCCTCTCTGTCTCTCTCTCTCTCGCCATTTCTCCACTTTTCCTCTCTCCACTGCTGTGGCCCATACATGCACATCCCTGAAGTTCATTCACAGGGCTTACTCAGTGTCCACATAAACCATTACTGCTTTGTCTCTGAGAATAATCCAGTCCAACACAACAGAGTGCTGTTGGCACTTTTGCTGCTGTGCCTTATCCTTACCAAATGCAGATGCACACATTCTCCACCATCTGTCATCAGTGAGAGAAAAATAAAGAAAAAAGAAAGATAAAAGGCCACCATTCACTTCTGGCTTAGTATGTGACTTCGCAATATCATTTAATCTGCCAGAGGTCAGTTCTTTGCCCATTATGCCTTATTGAAAATGTTAAACCTGGAACATAGGGTAAAAATGTGCTTTGAGAACCATATAAAATGCTAAATTAATGCATCAAAAATTATTTTCTCCCAGTGCCTTGGGCAAAAATATTGTTTTGAACCACCCCATATCACATGTTTCCATTAATTTGCAGGGTCAGAAATAATGCAGCATCTGTTTCCAGTGTCGCCACTAAGAAGGAACCAGTGTGAGGTTCCATGTGAATGCAGCTGCAGTCCCTAGGCACAAGCACCACACTATATGGTGCCACCTACTAACAAGCTACAAAGTCATCCGTCAGTGCTACACCGCCTGGGTGTCTGGCTTTGCCATTTGCCTCTGACCAAGCTATGATTGCTGATTCATCACAAAGCCAGGTATCTTCTGTAGGCCAGCCATCCATTGTTACTTGCTCGAGGCAATTTAGTTATACCTGATCATTAAGATGAGAAATGACATTACCACCAACTGTCATCAATCTCACACTTTGAAATTATTAGGAGACATGCAAGGCTACGTGAAGTGACATTAAAGTCTTCCATCTTTTCCTTGGACTGTCCCAGGACTTTCCCACTGAGATCATTAGCAGTATCCCTTATTTTTTACTCCAGCACAAGTAACTCTCCAAGGCTACAGCAAAGCATTGTTATAGATCTTTGACTATAGTATAAGATGTCATGCAAAGGGCACTATCATTAAACTTTATCTGACTAATTAAGTTTACTTTAATGAAAAATTACAAAAAAATCTGTCACCAAAAAAATCTGACACACCTGTTGTATGTTGTCGGCTGAGAACCAGCACTGAATCTCTTAGAATGAAATATCTAAAGATGCAGTTGTTTCAGAAGAAGTAACCCATTAGATTCACTTATATG